AGTTCCCGCTCACTGGCTGAGCAAGGTGCGGGCGCGGCACCGATGTTTGCGATCCCGTTGCCAGTCCCATTCCGGTACGGGCACGACACTGAGGGTTGCGATCCATTGCTGGTCACAAAGAAAAAAAAAAAAAAAAAAAAAAAAAAAAAAAAAAAGTCCTGAGTAGTTACCCAAACCAGAAACACATACCTGATGTTTATTTCTGGGCCAATCAGTTCTCTTCTCAGGAACTTGTTGTTCCTTAGTTCTTCCTAGATGGGAGGCTGATTGCTCACTGCTTCTTCTTCCTTCTGCCCATCCTAGGCCCTGCCGCCTGCTGGGTCTACTGTAATGAGCAGCATCTAATGGGTATAGAGTCCCTGGAACAAGGTGTTGAGGGTGTGCTTGTGTAACTGCATACGCACTCTGTTCTGCAGGAGTTTCTGACACAGACTTCAGTGACTTTAGATTCACTGCCAGTACACTCGGCTAGAAAAAAAGATAGAAAACAGCTATTTAAGAGCTGGCTGATATTTAGAGCTAGAAAGGAGTTAGAAATCCTTATCCAGTCTATCACCCTCATTTTACAGAATAAAAACAACAAACCCAGAGATGGAAATGACCATCCCAAGGCCATGCTGCTAGTTACTGTCAAAGCTGGGAATGGAGCTAGGGTTTCCTCACTTCCAGGCCAGTGCTGTTTTCTACCACCCTGTTTCCTCTTCGTCAGGGAGCCTATGCAGACACAGTATTGCTCTTTCTTAGTCTTCTACAACTCAAAATGCAATTGGGCTACCTCAGGCAGCCTTTTTCTTACTCCTGTGTATTTTTAACCCCCTTCTTCCCATATTTTTTATAGAGGCTCTTTAGAAAAATTGTATTTTGTGTCTGTCCGTAATCACCGATCTCACAAGTGCCATTTGCATTTTTGGGGTTTTTTTTTTTTGGAGGCTGGCCATTACAGGGATCGAGCCCTGGATCTTTGTGTTATCAGCACCATGCTCTATCCAATAGAGCTAATGGGCCAGCCCCCAAGCTCCATTTGTAAATCACAGAACAAGCCTAATCTTGGCTAATCGGCACCATTGTAAGTACCAGTTCTGCCCCTGAACCAAGGAAAAGAAGGCAATACATTTTAATGAGATATAATAAAATCCAGTAAAATAAGGAGTGTTTGTTTTAAAGAGAAAGGCACAGATTCACCAAATTTTGGATATTTAAAAAAGGTCAAAATACCCATTTCCTAACTTAGGACCTACAAAATATTGTTCAAGAGTTTACTTAGTTTAATGGAATGGCAGCTGAAATGCAGCATGCAGGAATATTCATGCAAAAGGTGGAAAAGATTCTTTGATAACAGAATTAGTCCACAGCCCTTCCCTACCCCCTGAATGTAACCCTGGGACAAATAAAAGCTGACCTTTCAAAATTATGTTTATAAAAATATGCACCATGCCACCTGAGGTTTGATTTTCTGTGCTAAAATAGCTCAGGAAAATGCAGTCATTAATGTTAATAGGCTGATTTGGGAGTGACTTGAGACTAAGAAGTTGTTTACTGAAACATTTTAATGCAATGGTAATTAATATAATATTGATTTCAGTATGATGGCAATTAAGACCCACTGTGTGTCTTATAAAATGCAGGCCTGGAGTTTTTTGTTTTAGAATGATTCTTTTAATGGTTTACCACCATGGAATTGAGCTAACAACATCAAGTTTTGCCCTGTGGAAACTGTAGAAATCACAAAGTTCTGTTCCATATCATACTGGCACAACAGAGATTCATAGATTTTTGGCTCCTGGCTGGAGTTTTTTGTTTTAGAATGATTCTTTTAATGGTTTACCACCATGGAATTGAGCTAACATCAAGTTTTGCCCTGTGGAAACTGTAGAAATCACAAAGTTCTGTTCCATATCATACTGGCACAACAGAGATTCATAGATTTTTGGCTCCTGGGTATTTGTTTTATATGGTTTGTAGAAGGTTTTCCCCTCTTTGGATTTCATGATTTCATTCTGTAGTACTATTGAAAGAAACATTCAACATTTGTTGAGCAATAATTTATGCTCATCACTCTCACATATGTATTTATCTTATTTAATTCTTCCAATTACACAGTGAGATAGGTTTTATCCCCAGCTCACAGACAAGGGATAGCAAGGTTAGATATTAGCTTGTCTAAGAATACGCTGCTGGTGATAAGTGGCAAAGGTAGAATGGGAACTGGATCTTTTTGGAGATGTTTTTTCACCTGTGGCCCTACTGCCCGCTTCTTTTACATATTATTTTTCAGTCATCTTGCAGCCTGATATTCAAACCATGCTTTTATTCTCTGTCTTTACCTGCAGCTCTTGGCTCACTCCTTGATACCTATGCTTTAGCTTTTAAATATTCTAAGATCTGGTCTTTCATTCATTTTTACCATTAAATCCTTACACATGTTCATCTCTTCATCAATATTTGTACTTCTCTTTTATTTCTTCCCTAACTTTTAAGGTTTTTCTATGCTTGGATTGTCTAGAACTTAGGGTATTTTTAAAAGTAAGTTGCTATCAGCCTTCTTGAGAGTTGTCATCTACTGTATTTGAACTTTCATCAGTATTCTGAAATTATTGGGCATGTGTTTGCCCTGCTCTAAAAAACACTGCACTTCTAAATTTCTGTTTCCTGTTAGGGTAGTGAACAAGTGGTTCTCAACCCTGGCTGTGCATTTGAAGCAGCTGGGATCTTTAAAAGAAAACAAGTCACTCCTCAGTGCCGCCTCAGTGATTCTGATACAATCTCTGCAATTCTGATGTTCAGCCAAGGTTGAGACCCACTTTTGTAGGCACTGATAAACCACTGAAAAGTGTTGAGCAAGAAGTAATAAGGCTAAGTTTAGAAAGATGGCCCTGGCAGCCAGGGTTAAAGATGGCTTGGCAGGGGGAAGAGATTTTAGGCAGATCACTTTGGAGACTGATGCAATGGGCCAGATAAGATGAAACACCTGAAGTAAAAAGAGGAGAGAGGTTGAAGAAATAGGATCAGTTTCATTTATCGATGGTATTATCAGTGTTGAAGGCAAGTGAGAAACACATCAAGGATGATTAAGAGGTTCCTGGGTTAGGGGTTCAGGATAGGGTTTTCAGATCAGATTCTACCCGAGCTCCTCCTAGGTTTCCAACCACGGTTTCTGTACACATCAGGAACAAGTGTAGGACAGGTAAACAGAGTACCACTTTATTATTAGCCAAACAGTCATCGTATTGTGCCCGAGAAAGCACTCCCTAGTAAAAATGACTTCTGGAATGAAGTTTGGGCCATGGGGGCTAAAGTTTCTTCTCATCTAGGATGGTATCACTTTATTCTGTCTCAGCAAGAGGTGTATGTCCGAAGAGAAGAGAGGAAGAGAGAACGGAGATCCACCTGGACCAAATCTGTCCACATCAGCTTAGCACAAAAAGGCAGGAGGGAGAGGAGGCTAGAGGGCCCTACCAGAAGTACTTACCACAGAAAAGGGAAGATACAGGGACCCCCTACAACTTACTCTGCT